TTCCCCCCTCCCTTCCCTCCTCCCTCCCTCCCTCCCTTCCTTCACAGATACTCACCGAGCACCTCCTGGGCACTGGGCCTTGTTCTTGGTGCTCAGGGCACAGCAGTAAAGGAGGCCATCTCAGTCCCTGTCCCTATGGGGAAGGCAGACAGTCGTCAAGGAGGCAAATGGTTACTTACAAATCGTGGTGGGGTTGGTGAGGGGATGGACAGCCCTAGAGAAAGCATGCTGGGCACGGGCTCTTCCTGGAGCCACTTGAGCTGCGGCCAGAGGGCCCTGATGATAAGAACAGGCAGGATTCAGTGGGCCCACCGTGTATGCCAGAGTCTCTTCCAAGTGCTTCTCCTGAACACGATCCGCACAACCACCTCAGGATCTTGGTGCTCCGGTCAGCCCGGGTGAGGAGCCTGAGGCTCATCCACCTGCCCGAGGTTACACAGGGGTTAACGTGTAGGCACGCTCCAGAGTGCACGCTCCTGGCAACCACCCTGGGCTGCCTTCTAATCTGCAAAGGAGAAGCTAATGCAAATGTGGGCCTCAGGTGGTTGAGGCAGGAACCGAAGGAGAAAACCATGTGGTTGTCACCAGAATTAGATAAAAGAGCTCCTAGGAAGCTAGGAACAGATGGGAAGTTATTTGTTTTAACTTAATGAAGGATAGCTCCCCCAGAAACCGGGAGCAAAGACCACTGTTAAGGGTAGAACTTTGGAAGCACCCCAGATCAGCCAGGGCCAAAGCAAGGTCGCCCGGCACGGCTTCTCCAGCTGTGGAACGGGGGCATAGGGAGGCCAGGAGACAGGCCTGTGGTCACGGACCAGCCATGGCAGGGCAGGCTGGGGTGGCGGAGGGCCTGAGGGAAGAGCATCCATCGAGGTTCCGGCCGACAGAGAACCACTGTAATCCCGTCTTAGGCCGGGGGGGCGTATGAAAACAGAGTCAGAGGAAGATTCTTCCGATCCTGTGTCCAGAGATGGTTATCAGTCTGAAAACACAGAATCCTTCCTCTAGACCAAGGATTACCCAGACCCCACTTGCAAACCAGATGGGGGTTTGGGGACATGGGGACCCCCTGGTCTCCTAGAGGACCCCTCAGAGCCTCCGGGGTTCCACGGGGCTCAGTTTGAAACCCACGAGTTTACAGGTTGGCCCGGGAGGGGGGACAGAGGACCGCCTTGGAGGCAGTGAGGGTTTGCCCACTGGTAGCTGAGGAAGCAGGCCGAGTCCAGAGCCGCTCCTGCTCTCCTGGTCTGGGCGATGGACATGGGCCGAGCCTCGCCCAAAACAGAGCTGCTGTCAGCAGGACAGGGGCGGGGGGGTCTCCTCATCCGCTCCTTCAGAAGTAATGGCCAGGACAGCCAGGGACCCGAGGAAGACCAGAGCTGGTCTGCTTAGAAGCCTGTGCGTAGTCTGTGTGGTACAGAGCTCAGCACAGGAGACCGTCCACACAGACCGCGTCAATGGTGGGAGGCAGGGAGGCCTGAGCGGTGGCAGCCGGCTGTGCACCCGGGGCATTAGGGCCCCTTAAATCCCCTAGGAGCCTTCCCCCATGGACGGTTGGCATTACCTTGGTCTTCGGTGAAGCAGAGAGGCTGCCTCGAGACCATATCCTCTTCCAGTCCCGGGCAAGCCAGGGGCAAGGGGCTCAATGGGGCTGGGCCTCGAGTTTCTCATGCCCGCAATGGGAATCGCAGAGTCCACCCCCCACAGCTGCTGTGCAGTGACCCCAGGCGCTGCCTGGCTGGGCACACGGCGGGGACGACCTCCACGAAGGCGCGCTTGCGGGCCCTCGCCTCAGGCTCTGAATCGCTCCCAGTCGTGCGAGGGCTGTGGTGATTAGTTCCTCCTGAGAAATTCTCGCGTCCCTCAGAGAGTGGTGATTTGCTCTGCAGGAGAGGCTCTAGTGACAGGAGGAGCCCCGAGTAAAACCGCCACCCCGGGCCAGGACGGTCTGCACTCCGCTCCGTCCCTGGGGGCAGGCGGGGAGGACAGTGCCGGCCGCCTGAGGGCCCCTCCCTGGGCAGGACAGATTCCCGGTCCCCGAGCGAGGGCCTCTTCCTCCAGGCTGCCCGCTCCCTGTGGCCAGAGCGTGGGCTAGGACAGAGGGGAAGGGCTCAGACCCTCACGGCTCTTCTGTGTTTCAGGCTGAGGCCCTTCACTTCCTACAAGCTGCGCCTGAAAGCCACCAATGACATTGGGGACAGTGACTTCAGCATGGAGACAGACGCGGTGACCACGCTGCAGGACGGTGAGCCCGCTGGGCCCCAGGCAGGCGGGCAGACGTGGACCCCTGCCCGGCTGCCGCCTTTGGACCCTGAGACACGGGCTCCCGGAGAGAGGCCCCACTTTCATCGGAGCCAGGAAGGGGCCACCCAGGGGAGGGAGGGCCGTGGCTGGCGAGCAGGGGGGTTCGGGTAGCAGCAGACCGCTCTGAGCGCCCCATACAGCCTGGGGCCGTGAAGCCAGCTTCAAGGGCTCACAAGTGGAACGGGTTCCTTTGATTGGCTTCCAAACCCCTACGATCCATTAGCATCCTAGACATTGAATAATTTATAGGGTCATTAAAAATAAATGTGGAAGGGTAGCTGGTTTTTGAGAGGTTTCCCCATTTTTCTCACCCACAACCCAGTCCGCAGTTTGGCCATTTGACAGAAGCACAGGGAAGGGATGGAGGTGAAATCCCCTAAATCTCCAGGTGGTTCTTAACCGCTCTCTCCCCCCTCAGAGGAGCAGGCCCAAAGATCCCTTGTGATTTCGGGTGCCAGTCCTGCCAGGCCCGGTGGCAGACCGACTTAGGACACGAGGGCTGCTCTTGCGTCTTCGAATCCCGGGCTGTGAGGCTGAGCCCTCAGCTCACCCAGCAGCACTGGGCACTCATTCCCCATGTTTCAGTCTTTCTCCTTTATAACCTGGGAGCATGGCTTCACCAACATGAGGCCTCAGGCGAGCCGAGGACCAGCAGAGGGGTTCAGGGGGACCCTTCTAGCTTCTCGGCCTCACGCAGAGATTCCTCTGCTGCACACCCAGGCCGCCCGCCACCGGGACAGGCCCCTCGAGAAACTGTGGTTGTCTTTGTGGCTCGTATTTTAATCTCACATTTAACACAACTGGGGTTGTCTTTGGGAGTAAGCACTAATTCTTAGAAGAAAGAGGCAAACACAGAAGCTGATTTTGTTGGCGAGTCTTTGAGGAAATCGCAAGCGGGTGAGCAGGACACCACAGACTCCCTTTGCCCTTACAGGGCTCAGGCTCCTTCAGAACTGGCCTGTTCTTGAAAAAAAGCATTCGAGGGCCTCTCCAGGTTCCGAAAGGCCTCAGTCCTTTGATATTTAAATCATTTCTTTTGATGTACCTATCCTGTTAATCTTCCTCTTCTGAGATTTGCAGTTTCTCTAGCAGTTGACTGCGTTGTTTGCACCGTATTGTCTCCAGAACCATAGATCCACTGAGAGGGACAGGCTCCGGGGCTTGGGGAGCCCTGGGCCGGGGTGGGGGGGCTTTCAACGTGTGGATGGTTTGCTGATAAACATTGCCTTGTTATGGTGGTTGGGATATTGAGACCCCCTCAATCCAGCATGATCCAGAAAGCTGAATAAGGGTCCACCATGGACCTCAGGAGGCCAGAGAGCATGGGGTGGAGGACCCCCGGAAGGCAGGAGGGGGTGCTGCAGTTGTGGCTGATACTGGCGTGTCCCAGGTGCTGGGCGCCCTGGCAGGTGTGGAGGAGACTCAGAGGGCAGGTAACCGAGGGGCCAAGTCTCGGACAGTCAGTGGGTGCCGGGTGGGGAGAACAGCCTCAGTCATTCGGCTCAGTGACTCTTGGCGAGCATTTGATGGTGGACAGCCATGAAAAGGCCAACCCGGCATGCCGGCGGGACCGCACGGGTTAAGTGGGAGCAGAGGTAGGGAAGGGGTGTCTGAGGAGGCCCACGGGACAGACAGATGGTGCAGGACTGTAGTTTCCAGCGTGCAGGGCACGGCCACGGGCAGAGCCAGACTGACCGAATCCCCCCAGAGAGCAGAGCCAAGCAGCCAAGGCCGCTGCCCCGAGCACGGGAGCCATCCCTCTGCCCCAGAAGTCAGCCTCCCTCCCTTACTGTCTGAAACCAAGAGCACTCGGTCCTGGCTTGACCCTTTGTCCCGTCCAGAGCCTCTCTGACCTAAGTACCTCCAACGAATGATGCCTCTCCTCCAGGGAGGGCCCCTGGGAAGATGTGGGACAGCAGGAAGGCTCCCCAGGCAGGGTTCCCAGGGAAGAGAGCCAAGCGCCTTTGTGTGTCCTGTGTGGATCTGCTGGGAGGGCCCGGGGCGGGGGGACAAAGGCAGGGCATTACCTTGTCACTTCCATCAGGATCAGTCCCTTCTATCCGGGCGGGAACGGGCTCTGCAGGCAGGGAAGGGCATCCATCCACGGGGAAGCAGGGGAGCCGCGGATGTTGGCTCGCCGGCTTCCCACCCCCACCCCCGAGCCGGTCCCTGAACCAGGAGGGAGCTGGCTCCAGAATGGCAGCCAAGAACAGGCAGAACCAGCTAATCCTCACTTTTTTCTTTCTTGGATTCCAGTTCCGGGAGAGCCTCCAAGTTTTGTCTCAGTGACGCCGCATACCACCTCCTCTGTTCTGATCCAGTGGCGGGTAAGGGCCGGGAAGGGCAGAGTGTTTCCTGCACCAGCGTCAGAGGCTGGAACCTGCCCGCCTGCTGAGCCCCATGTCAGCGTCTGAGGGTCGGCGGTGGGTCACAGGACACCACATTGTTGGCATGCCCGCAGGCGGGGTGGGGGGAGCACCGTGGACCCCCTGAGCTGCGCCGTGGGAAGGAGCCTGAGCACAGCTCCCTGGGGAGGGCAAGCAGGACGGCGGGGCTGGTGCAGGGCATCTGGGGCTGAATGTTCCAGGCATTTGGGGAAGGACGGCCCGGCGAGGCCTCCGTGGTACACACAGAACTGGGTGGCGTCCAACAGGGCTGCGAAACGGGAGCCTGAGGAGTGATCTTTCCTCCAGGAATTGTCCACTGCCAGATAAAATACCCACAGGGTTACATGTGTCCTGCCTACCTTCCAGGTGTTAATCCTCCATGAACAGTCCAATCAGGGCATCTTGTCCTAGACAATTGAGTGATGTTGGTGGGCCTTAAACAGCGCTGTAATATGATGTCGAAAGGACACTCTGGCTTCTCTTTGCCTTATTTCCAATTTGGGTACTTTTGCCAACAGCAACGTACATGGAAGACCAAAAAATAGAGGGCAGAACTGGCAAGGAGGAATGCCCCGGCCCAGGGCAAACCCAGCAAGGGTGCTCACGGGTCTGTGGAGAGGGCTCAGCCAGGCTGGGGGGTCAGGTTCAGCAGCCGGGCTGGAACCAGGCCAGAAAGACACAGCAACGGGCCAGGGCCAAGGGCAGCAATGGGAATGTTGTATGTGCTCTGGCCAGGAAGGGAAGCTCCTGAGACCAGAATGGGGCGGCCTTCCAGGAGAGGGCAGTGCCTAGAGCTGGGGTCGTGGGGTAGGGAGGTGGGAGCAGGTGCCCTGGTCTGTGTGCATGGCCACAGTGAGGTGAGGTCTGCCTAGGAGTGGCCACAGTAGTCTGGTGGTCCACAGAGGGGTCTGTGCCACTGAGCTTCTTCCTCCAGGTTGACGAGATTGTCCAGGAGAGTGCCAGCATCACATCCAGACCAGGCAAGAGAGAGGGGACAGTTTGAGGTCAGGAGATGTAGGGACCAAGAGCAAGCTGTGGCCTGGACACGGCCTTAGAGAGGCAGAGGCCGTGCCTAGCCGGGGACAGAGGCTGGCAAGAGGGGAGGACTGGAAGGGATTCCCTTGCAAAAGGAGGGGCCAAAGGGCGTGGGTGGGCGTGCCAGGAAACCCAGAGGAGGCCTTCGGGGAACCTGTCCTAAGTGGACCACCTCCACAGGCCTTGTAGGCAGGGACAGATCTTGCTGGAGACCCCTCCAGGCTAGGGCTGGTGCCCAGCAAGGAGCAAGGGGGAGAGAAGTCAGGAGCCCTCCCCAGCCTCCTGGGGCTGCTAATGGAGCAGGGGTGCTGGGCAGGAAGTCAGGGCAGGAAGACCAGGGTCGGGGTGCGTGCACCAGCTGTGAGGGGGCTTCCTGAACTCTCAGGTGGTGGCTCCTAACCGCTGAAGGTTCCTGCTGCCTCCCCTTATGTGGCAACTTGGTGGCATCGGTAGGTATTAGCTCTACTCACGTGCAGTTTGACCCTGAGCAAAGAGAGCAGGTGGAAATTCCATGCAGGTCAAAGGAACAGACTTGACACGGCCGCTCCAGGAGGGAGGAGAGCGGGACGTTCACAGCCTGGGCTCCGTGAGGCACACGGAGTCTCCAGGTATTGATGGAGTGGCTGTGGGCCCCTCCTTCACTCCACTGCCAAGTGACACGTTTCAGAGGTGAGGGAACCCTTAAAGGTGATCAAGAGACAGTTCCAGATGTCTTCAAGTGAACGTGGAAATTCGCTGCCTGGCGTTGTGTAGTTTCCAGCCTCACCGGTGTGGGGACAGGATGGGAACTGGTTCCCAACCCTGCCTCTGGGCGGCCGTGTCCCCTCAGCTTGTCTCAAGGCCCCACTGGTTCTAGGTCCGTGGACCCCAGTTTGCCAGTGGATGACGCGACCCCAACAGGCCTCTCTGGCTCCCCGTTTTTCCTCTGTAAACATAGGAGGTCGAAGGTGACCTTCAAGGTCTCTGATGAAAGGCCCATTAGGTCTCACAGCCCTGACTTCCAGCAGGGCCTTTGGTGGGAGGCGGGAGACGTTCAAAGTGGAAATTCAGGGTCCCAAGAGTTTCTGCTTCCCACTCTCCACTAACTTAACCCAAAGACTGGTGTTCTCTACTGTGCTAAATTTCCTTTGTAGATGTGGCATTTGGCGAGCCAGTAACTAGGTAACCTCCTTTTCCATAAAGGCAGCTTGGAGGCTTGGGACGGGCCATTGCCTCCACACGGTGGCTGCCGGCCCCTGCCATCCTGGCCCCCGAGCACGCGGGGCTCCGAGCCCCGTGGTTGAGGTTGGACAGCTCTGTGAATGGCGGAGAGCTGTACCAAAGGAACTTGGCACGCGTGTCCATCAGCTGTCCCCGTTTAGGGCCCAGTAGAACAAACTAATTGCAAGAAACCCAGAGCAGGAGGTGGTCAATATGATGTATTGTAGAAATAATTGCCCGTCAAGTGCCAAGCAATTGAAGTATAATTAAAATTATGAGTAATTTACTAAATCAGAGCGAACAGAACAAAGAGACTATGTTTAAATATAGATTTGCATTCCAAATGAAATGTTTCACCTGTAAACCCCTTTTCTTCCAGTAATTTGTTTAAAAATGCGAACACTGCCTGTAATTTCAAGGCTGGTGACCCACTTAAATGTCTCCTCCGTGGAAACTGTCAGGTTTGATTTTTCCTGGTAGGATAATCAATCTCTGCCTTTCATGGGTTCCAGCGCGACTTGAAATCTAAGGATTTGAGTGTGTGTTCTAGACAGTGGCGGTATTTTGTTCACACTGAGGGCAGCTCACAATAGACACTGGCGTTTCTGAATTGGTCACAACAGAAGCTGGCTACTCTGAAAGTTCCCGTGGCTCATATGGTCTGTCACTCAAGTGTGGTTCCTTGGGGGGCTAGAGACAGTGGATTTTCAGGCCATTTTTTAGCAAAAAAAACCAAAAAACAAAAAAAAAAACTTGTTAGCGATAGATCACATCATACACGGTGGACTCAGCAGAGGGTGGATTCAGTGTTGTCATAGGCGCCTTCCTAGGAGGAACGTGACGGCCACCTAGACAGAGGGGAGCAGGCAGCGGGGCCTCTTCAGGACATCTTTGGGGTTTGTTCCTTCTCTACATGGGCTCCATCCCCTGCAGAAGACCAGCTCCCGTGTAGGGTCCTGAGCACCCAGAGGCAGACAAGACAGACTCCAGGCCTTGAAGAGCTTCTGTTTACTGGGCTGAGCCCTCGGACGCAGTAATGGGAAGACAGTGGAGGGGGAGCTGGGAGAGGACTTCTGACTGTGTTTTGCAGGATGAATGCCCCCCCCCACGCCCCAGCTAAAGGGCAGAGATGGGCATCCGGGCATCACCCACAGCTGGAGCAAAGGCTCGGAGGTGTGACGGCCCCTGGGACTCAGCACTGGGTGTCAAGGGGAGGTATGTTGGAGCCAGGTTTTATAAGGCCTCCTGTGCTGAAGCATCTCCCGGACAGATGACCAGTCCAGGAAGAAACCAACCACAGATGGGGTGATCTTGGATGTCACTCCCACAAGCACTGAGTGAGCGCCTGCCATGACCAAAGCCTGTCACAGGTGCTGCAGGGAAATAGAAACGAAAAGACACAGACCCGGCCTTGCCTCCAGGCAGCATGGAATCAGAAACAGCAGTGTGGTCAGGACTAAGGGCTTGAAGAGCAGGTCTGTGGCTGGAAGAGAACCTTCTGTTTAGAGTCACAGGAGGCTCTAGACAGCATCTCGCCAGACTTCCACCTGCTGTGGGCCCAGGGCTGAGCCTGGGGGGGTTAGTCACCAGCCCAGGCCCACACTGCAAGGAGCCAGGACTCGAGTCCAGAGCCTGACCACGACCCATGGCTTCTAGAACTCTCCGTGTGTCACACGGAGCTGCCCTCCTGATACCTCCCAGGAGGTCCGGAGTCTTTCATAAATGACAGATGGGTTTACTCCAAATTCTAGGAATAGAAAGTGTGGTTAAACCCAGTTCCAAATCCCGTGCAGGCAGGCCCCAGAATCTCTGTGAAGCCTGCCCTTCCTGGGGCCGGGACCCACGGCAGCCTTCATGAGGCCACGTCCGGGCTACGGGGCCACCTGTCCCCCAAGCCCGGATGGCTTCTGCGGGGAGGGCAGCGCTAGGACCTTTCCTGGCTGGTTGCGGGTAGTGGTTGTGCCTGTGGGCACAGGCTTGCCTTCTCTTCACACCTCAAAAGCACCCTCTCCTCCTTGGCTAGAAATGTTCGTGAGCCCAGGATCCATGGCCTCGGCCCTTCCCCTCTGTCCTCCGGCCCCAGCATGAGCATGGACACGCATGCCGTGGGTGGGGTGTTTGCTGCCTGTTGCAGAACGCTATGTGGTCCCCAGTGAGAACAATTTTTTTCCCAAACTCCCAACTTCCTGCTGTTGATAATTGGGGTGAGCTAAACCCTAGCTTCTCTCCACGAGAAGTGGATTACCCTCGAGCTATCATGTCTCAGGCCTGTGCATCTGCAGAGTCAGACCCTAGGGCCTCTGCAGCCTCCCGGCGGCGGGGGGTGGGGGGTCTGCTTGTGCCTGAGGCTGCCACCACCACACCCCAGGATTGTGAGGGAGGCTGCGGGGGCGACCCAGCAGCGGTGACATCGCTGGGCTGGTAACTCACATAGACCCAGCCACCTCTGCCCTCCCTCTGATCCCGGTCAGCTCAGGTCCCAGGGAAGGGAGCGCAGCATGTCTCACCGTCACTGCCCAGACCCCTGTCACTCCTCCTCGCTGCCACTCGAGGACAGCGCCTGGGGACGCTCAGCCAGGATGGCCCGAGGCTCCCGGGGTGCAGGAAGTGCTGTGAGGAAAGCTGGGTGTGGACACGAAGCATTCCCGTGTGTTACTCCCTGAGCTCCGGCGGCGCACGCGGTGTGAGCAAACACCTAGTAGGAGCTCCTCTGACCTTCCCGGTGTCCCGTCCTCGCTGCAGGGGTAACACAGGGGCCCAGAGCTGTCCCCGCTCCCTCACGGCCTGTGCACCAAGCTGCCATCCCGAGGGACGGAGACGCTGGATCTGGGGAGCGTTTCACTCTGCCCTCCTTGCGGGAGGTCACTTCCCGTACCCTTTCTGTAAAATTTAGGTGATGGGATGAAGCAACGTCTCTTTTTCATTCTTAGACATCAATTTTTTTCCAACTTTTCCATCCATCGTATTTCTTTAAGAAGGTTAAATAAGCTCTCTATTACAACGTGGCAATAGCTGTGTCTGAAGGACACCCCGTGGAATTAGGATTTTAATTCCCAAGTGCGGCCAGTCAGAAACCCAGGACTAGAGCTGAAGAAGCAGATTGTCGCGACCACCTTCCCTCCTTATGAACAGATGTGTGTGTGCACGCAGTGTACGCGCACACGGTCCCCTCTGGATCCACACCCGCGGGGCGGCACGTGCACCCACACCGTACCTGGCGCCAATCAGCAGTAACACCGAATGGCCCCTACCGCCTACCACAGGAGCTAGTTTCTAAAGCAGGGTTTGGGGGACCTGGAAGCTGTTCTGAAAGCAACTCTGTGAGTGCTTCAGGGAGTGGTTTGAACACAAACCCTGTGGGCCACACCCCATGGTAATGGAGGGACTGGAACACAGGGGTCTGTGGGCAGGGGGCACAGCCTAGGACGCGGGGATGCTCCCTTGCGGGCACTCTCCAGGCCTTTTGAACACAAAGGTTTTGTCCATCAAAGTTGGTAGGAAATGGGGGAAATTTAATAAAATAGAATAAAACCCACAAGAAAACCCCAGCCTATCAGCCGCTCCTCAGGCTCGTGAGCTTCACCGCCGGTTCTCCCTTTCCTGCCAGTGCTCAGCTTCCTGAGGCCCTCGCTCTCTGTTTTCTTGCTGAGTGAGAGGGCTCCCAGCTGGAGTAGGTGGGCACAGTCGTGGTTTGGGAACAGGGGCTGGAAGGAAGGGCGCACCCCCCCAAGTCCCAGGGACCCCGCCCCACGCCACTGATCACCTGCCCCACCCCCACATCCCGTCACAGATGCCCTGGGTAGAAGGCAGTCAGAGACGGGGGAGGGAGCAGGTTAGCCAGACAAACCACCAGTCCCCAGCTAAATGTGAATTTCAGATCAACAATTATACGAAGATTAAAATTTAACTAGGTGTCCTGTATTTTTATTGGCTGAATTGGGCAACCCCACAAGGCCAAAAGCAAAACAGAAGAGACTGGTCTGGCATCAAAATCCCTGGACTCCATAGTCCCGCAAAGGCGGCCCGAGCCAGAAGGGAAGGTCCCCTGCATTGCTGGGGACAGCTAACCAAAATCAAGTGGGAAAAGGGAAAGCCCACAGAAACAGCTCCTCCCGGATCACAGCCTTGTGCTGGTTGAGGATGGCTATGGGGCGTTGGCACACACTGTGGGGGACACGGGGGACTTCAACACAGAATGTGTCCCACACTGGGGTCTAGCGTCCCAGGGGCCAGGAGGAGCATCGTGCTGAGGACATGTGGGGCCCTTCCCTGAGGGATGCACATGGATCACCAAGGCAAGGCAAGCACACTCACGTCTCCCAGTTATGCCTTTCTGCATCTGGTGGGGGGAGATGACACACTGTAGAGCTCCTCACGAGTTGGAGGCATCGCAAAGGACTTAGGAAGGGTGTCAGGGGCTGCCGGTAGCTTGAGTTGACGTGAGCAGTTTTCACGGTCAAAGACATCCTGAACTTACCAGGCACACCATGTCCCTGTGGTACAGGCCTGCATGTAAACCGTGGCTAGCTGCATCTGTATGAGTATGTCTGGCTATCTGGGCTACACTGCTGGTTTCTTTGGATTGTGAGTAGCAAGGGTTGAAAGAGAACAGGATTCATGTGAGCACCCACATCCCTCTGGTCCCTGGGTTCAGGCAGTAAGAATTGCATAGCAAGAGTCTGGGGGCAAAGATGTGCCAATGTCCTGGGGCTGCCGCCACAAGTTAGCTCAGGCCGTATGCTTAGAACAACAGAAATGCATTCTCGCACAGGTGTGAAGGCCAGAAGTCCAAAGCCAAAGGGTCGGCTTCCTTCCTGGCTTCTGGTTGCTGGTGACAACCCTTGGCAGTCCCTAGCTGGTAGATGCGTAAATGCATTCCTGGCCCCAGTTCCAAAGTGTGCGTGTGGAGGCTTCCCCACACCAACACGCAACACCAGCAGGGGGTCTGGGAATCCAACTCGATTCTACCTGGAGATGGCATCAGATCCCACGGGGTAAGGGCTCGGTCCCCAAGACGGCCCCCCACTGCAGACGCCAATCACGAATATAGGTTGTCCTCTCTGCTTTTGACCCACTGGCTTAAATCAGAGGTTCCCGTGATCCCATCCTCGGGTTTGACTAATTTGCTAGAGCGGTTCACAGAACTCAGAGAAACAGTTGATTATGAAATGATATATAGCTCAGGAACAGCCAGATGGAAGAGATGCACACGACAGGGTCTCGGGGAGGGGCACAGAGCTTCCATGCTCTCTCCCCAGATCTCCAGGTGTTCATGGACTCAGGAGTTCTCTGAACCCCATCCTCTAGGGATTTTGTGGAGGCTTCATGACACAGGCTTGACTGATGAAAGCATTGGGCGTTGGCCATTGATTGAACCTCCAGCCCCTCTCCCGTCCCCGGAAGTCAGGGGTGGGACGGAAAGTTCCAACCCTCTGATCACAAGGTTGGTTCTCCTGGCAACCAGCCCACATCCTCATTAACATGACAAGAGACACCTTGGTCACTCTGGACAAAGACACTATATGAAAGACATGTGGCTCATCTGAATGACTAAATAGATATTCTTATAAGTCACGATGTTGCAAGGCATCACTCCTGTCTCTGCTTCTGTGCTCACAGGAAGCCCTCCCTGTGGGTGTGTCCAAATTCCTCTCCTCTTCTAAGGACCTTTGGATCTTCTTATTGCCTCAGAATTTGTCAAATGATTGCTGGATCCTAAGTTGCTTCTCAAAATATGCTTTGTCTTCATCTTCAGCAACTGATAATGTGGAACACTTGGGCTCCCTGTGTGAATTATCTCTTATAATACCTTGCTCATGTTCATCCATCCAAAGTTTGCCATTATATTTGCAAGCAGCTTTGCTGTTAGTGATTTTCAAGCTTGAAGGTAGTCCTCTTGTCTTTGGGTGTCATTGAAAAGACCCATCGATACCTTGTTTTGGGGTTTTGGAGGGATTGGTAGCTTTAGCTTGTATTAGCAGGACTCAGGACTCCATATAGGCAAACGTTTATGTCGGGTAGATTTCTAGAAGTGTAATTGCTGGATTAAAAGGCACAAGTGCATTGAAAACCTTGATAAATAAAACCAAATTGCCCTCCAAAAAAGAAACCAGTCATTGGATTAGGGCCCTCCCTGCTGCAGTGTGACCTCCTCTCAACCGCAAGGTCTGCAAAACCCCGTGCCCATATACAGTGGCATCCATAGGTACCGGGGGTTAGGACACCAACGTATCTTTATGGAAGACACAACCCACAGCAAAGGGGTTTTCCTACAACAAAGCTGTGGCCGGTACTGTGGGACCAGGACAGAGTTTACTAAGAGGCTGGTGGTACCCTATAGACAGCGGCGGGGGTGGGCGTCACAGTGAACCTGGCATGCATCCCTGTCCCTGGACAAGCTTCACGACCCTGCTGCAGCCAGGGGTCCTGGGTGTGCCTTTTGTCCATCTGTCTGGTCACAGCTTGAGCAGTTCTTGTTCTTATTTGCTGAGTATTCCAGAGGAGACACGGGACCCAGAGCCCCCGGCCCCCCGGCCGGCACTGTGGCTGCCGTGGCCCTCCCCAGACTCATTAATCAACAAAATTGACGGGAGGGAGAATGTGGGTTGGGCATCCCAGTGTGCTTCCCGGTGTGGGTTGAATTCTGAGCCTCAGGGCCTGTCTACCACCATTCATGTTCCTCAGGGTGTCTAAATGTCGAATGAGCTCCTACCCTACCCTAGGCCCTTTGTATGCCAGCTGACATCGGAGGGCCCATGGGGGTTCCAGCTTAGGTCTGAGTCAGGGCAGAGTGGGGGTGACCTGGCATGCAGAGCAGTCACTGGGGGGCCCAGTGAGGCTGCCACAGGCCTGGGTGGCCATCAGGGACAGGGTGGGGCCAGCTGGTGGATGATGCAGAACCAGCCCACATGCATAGTTCCCTTAGAGTTCTGGGTTCACCAGGCAACGGGCAGCTTCCTCGCCCACCTGCGACCTGGGCCGTCGTCCGCTGCCTTAGCCTGGGACTCCTACAAGTATTCTGGGGGGCTGTCCATGGGATAAGTGCACGATGCCCACACACCAGCACCAGGAAGCCTGGGCTCTCAGAGCCTGATCCTCTACCTGGGGGTCCCCTGTGCTCCTCCTCGTGAATGCGGCACCTGCCTTTTTGTCCATAAACAACCAAGAACCACCTGTTTGAATTAGTGACTTCCTCCAGCACAGTTGACTGATTCAGCTTGAAGCGGAGATCGCCAGGCCCCACTGGCGGACTGACCGTGATGTATTTGCAGCCTCCAAGAGACGAGAGCCTGAACGGCCTTCTGCAGGGTTACCGGATCTACTACCGGGAGCTAGAGTCAGAGGCAGCCTCGGCCACCGTGTCCAAGACGCTCAAAACCCCTTCGGCTTTACGGGCCGAGCTCGCAGGTGAGATGCTTTCCCCGTCCCAGGAAAGGCACCACACCATGCACCCAGGAGAGGAACCCCTGTGCATGTTGGCTCCGTGCAAGGCATGGTGGGAAATGCCCTGGAGGGTCAGAGGAGATGTGGCTCGCCCCCAGGGAGCACAGCCACTGGGGTGGCAGGTCTCCAGGACTGCCCAGGCATGCACGGAGAGGTGGTGGTCCACGGAAAGCTCCTGGGCTTTGGGGCCTTGCGCCCAAGGGAGATCAGGGGAGGCTTCTCGGAGGAGGAGCGATTTGAGATAGGTTATCAGGGAAAAGGGATTTTGCCGAGGACACAGGGAAGGCATGACTTACAAGGGCCTGGCAAAGCTAAGTGGTCAGGAGGCAGGGAGAGTCAAGGGGCTCCTGGATGGGGCCTCCTGGTGGGCCAGCCAGGAGCACCCGCCTGCGTGAGGCTGGTGGGCTGTGGTGGGGAGGAGGAGATGAGCCAGGCCCTCCAGGGGCATCATATTGCTGCCCCATGTGGAGCCCAACCGGAAGGGGGGGGAATGGACAGAGGCTGGTTACAGCCTGCTGCTCTGATGGGGTCCAGTCGGGCATCCCCCCCCCAACCCTCACGATGCATGCACACCCCTCTCACCCAGAGCCTGTCCACCTGCTCAGCCACTCTCCCCAGTACCTCTGGCTCAGGCTACGACTCAGAACCAACAGCAATTGAGGCAGCTTCTGGAAGTTCTGGAAAGGCCGCTGCTTTCCCCCACCCTCCTGTCTCAGTAGGGGTCAGAGGGCATCCCCCAAACAGTGTCAAAGAAGATCCTCCCTGCCCCTCGACATCCTTGTGGCTTCAGAATGTGCGGCTCAGGGACCACATCCCTGCTCTCTCCACCTCCCACCACAGAGCAGGCTGTGCCTTGGGCCTGCTGGGGTCACAGGGCAGCCGACGGGAGCAGCGTGACCCGGCCTATCCCAGGAGTGGGGCTGACCGGAACAAGTGGCTCCTTTGTCTCCCGTGCTCTTGGCACCCCATCCCTGCCCCGCAGGTAACCCTGGCTGGTGACCAGACAGAACCTGGGCTTTGTAGCAAAATCGAAGGACCCAGGATGCGGCTGGGTCCATTTACCTGCACAGGGGCTCTCGGTCTGTGGCTTGCCCGGCCCTGTCAGAGCAGGGCTCTTACCTGAGCACAGGTAGGCCGACAACCGTGCCTGCCGAGGGGTATCTGGAAAAGTTGCCACCCTGGGAGAAACCCATTTCCTGTCCTCTCGAGGGCCGGATGTGCATCTGATGCACTTAGAGGGGGAGTGCGGACCCCACCTGTCGCGGGCCGGGGGGTCTGGCTGTCTCCGGAAGCAGTGCAGGGACCCCAGTGAGCTCATGGGAAGTGTGGAGGCGGCAGTATGGACGGGCAGCGGCTTCCAAGCTCGGCCGGCCCGCCGTGCCTGCAGCCTGCATTTGCAGTACCTGTTCCCGCCGGTTGACTGCCTTTCTGCTTTGCTTGCCCCTAATAGCCCAAAGCAGCTTCAAGACGGTGAACAGCTCCACGTTAACAACGTATGAATTAACACGTAAGTGCACGCCGCCTTCCGCGGGAGGCGCCATGACCGCGGGGCAGCCCAAGGCCCGCGCCACTTGGCCTCTACGGGGACCAGGTGAAAAGCAGCTTGGACTAATGGCTCTAATTTCTGGAACTGCCCCTCTCCAACGCCGCTTCTCAACACACCAAAACCATCGGGCACACAGGAAATTTCCAGAAGCAGAGGCTGGGAAGGGGTTTGACTGACAGCTGGTCTTTGAGTTTGGGAAAGTCAGACAGAGCCAGATCTCCTGTCTGGTTCCCTTTGACCTTTTCCTTTTACTCATTATTTAACTGTGGTAAAATATACACAAAATTTACCATTGTAACCGTTTCTAAACGTGCAGTTTGGGAGCATTAAGCACGTTCAGGCTGCGTGCAACCATCAGCACCTGCCTCCAGGGCCCCGTCCCTCTTCCCGGCTGAGCCTCCGTCCCCATGAAACACCCACCCCTCCCCCGCCCGGCCCCCGGCGCCCACCCTCTTCTTTCTGTCTCTGCGTCTGAGGCCTCCAGGGACTGCACACAGTACTTGTCCCGCTGCGTCTGGCTTCTTCCCGTTGGAGCTTCATCCCCGCTGGGGCACGGCCGGGACACTCTTCCTCTTCAGGGCCGAGTAGCGCCCCGCTGCGTGCACTCACCCCACTTCGGCTGCCTATTCATCGTCCCTTGCCCCCGGCTGCGCCATGTCGCTTGCCCTCACGCTTCTAGTCCTCAGAGGGTTTCATGGCCCAAATGCAGGGTGAAGGGGGCCCCCAAATGTGACTCCCGTGCGAGGGCTTCCCAGGACTGGCACGTGGATACGGGAAGGGGGAGGAGGAGCAGCTGGCCCTCCCGAGGCCCTACTGTGTGCAGGCACTGTCTCAGGGCGGGCCAGTGCCATCCCGGGCAGCCCCCAGGCAGCTGGCCCCACCCTGGTGGCCAGGGTTTAGGGGGGATTCACATGAGCCATTTTCTCCTCCATGCTGCTTCCCAAACATGGCTCTACCGTCGGTGATCCGCCCCACGTCCCCACCCAGCCGCCACTCCTCACCCATCGGCGCGTCCACCACGACGCTCCCCGGCTGAGGAGCCGCCTAGAGAGTTAGGTGCGGCCCGGGTTCCAGAGACAAGGCTTCCCTGGCTAGACCACGCTCCAGGCTTTGCAGTCCAGGTGACGAAGACGGAGAGGGGCCCCGACCGTGCCCGCATCCACGTCCACCCTGGCTTGTCTCAGTTGACACTGAGGAGCCGCACGGTCCCAGGTTTGGGGGTGAGGACGAACAGGCCAGGCGGGTGCGCGAGCCGCGTTAGGCAGCTCAGCTCCGGCAAGGCTGAGAGTGGGAGAGGGCGGCCCCTGCTCCGCTCTGTGGGCAAGTCCGTGAAGCCGGCGGGGGCAGGAACCTGGTGTTCCGATACACTGAACCTCTGCAGACTGGCGGCTCCCCGGGAGGTGAGATCTGAAGCCCGGCCTGAGTCACCACTCACTCAGGAGTCAGACCCACATGTAGGGCCTCAGGAAAGCCATATTAACCAGCCAGAGAACCTTCCAGAATGTTCTGGTTCACAGGTCAGCTACTTTCGTCCTGTCGCTCAGGCTCCGCCTGTGGAACCCTGTGTATGTGGCTTCACACACCCTTGTCTTCCGGAATGTGGTTGTTAAAAACTCAGAGGCCTTTGCGTTGCCAGTGTATTTCCTCCTTAAGTGCCGGGGTCCTTCCCCATGTGCTCCTACGGAGTGATTCCAGACCAAAGGCAAGCCCACGTCATGTTCTGCCACCTTCACTCTTCCCTCCGAAGACAGCCTGCTGCCGCCTTCACCCTGAGCGCAGAGTGGGACAGGTCTGCTGCCGTGCCTTGGTGGCTGTTAGTCCGGGGCTTGGGGAAGGAGCAAAAGGCCGCTCCACAGACCCTCTGGGGATGCACATGGCCTGTCCCACGGCCCGTTGGTATGGTTCCCAGATGGGGAGGTGGTCCCCGGCCAGCTGACCCCTGTCTCCTTACACCTGTAGGTCTGAAGAAATACCGGCGCTATGAGGTCATCCTGACGGCCTACAACATCATCGGCGAGAGTCCGGCCAGCGCGCCCGTGGAGGTGTTCGTCGGCGAGGCTGGTAAGCTCCGGGCGCCCCTGCCCTCTGGGAGGCCTGGCCGGAAGCTCTCGGGCTAAGCAGCGTGCCCGTGATGAGGAGGCTCCAGGTCGCTGCTGGGAGAGACGGATCTGCCGAGGGCTGGGCTGACCCGGTGGCCAGAGAGACCCGTCCAGTCGTGCTTTCAGATCCGAGGGTTTGTTTCACACCTGGAGCCCTTCTCGTGCATCCCAGGACGCGCTCCTGGGGAGAGGCTGCTGCCTGCACGGGAATCCAGGCGCGCGGGGACCTTGGCCTCTGCCGGGAAGTTTGTGCTTGGCTGCCCATGGTTCCTGCGGCGCCCCAGCAGCAGCCCGGCCCCCACATCAGCCTGACCTCCTGGTCACGGCCCCTTCTCAGGACTCAGAAAGCCACGTGGATCATTGTTTGTACCCCTTTTAGATAAGACGCGGCCCTGAGTTTGTTTCCAGGGCTGTCCCTCGTGTAGAGGCTCCCCGAGAGACGTCATGTGGCGTTGAGAGCAGATCGGGCTCCCGGCCGGCTCTCCCCCTCCTCTGCCGGGGCCCCTGCTCGGGTCAGCTGGGGCAGGTAGAGGGCCGCGCTTCAGGCCACCAACGACGGGAACTCCCTCCGAGGACAGAGCCCCAGGCTTGCAGGAGAAGGCGGTTGGGCCTCTGGGCCGGCCCGCAGAAACCTGTCAGGTGACCTTTCGAGATTCGGAGAGCTTACTGTTATAAACCAAACGAGAGCACTGGGGGCCTAACTTAGCAGGATTTTTCTGGAACCATCAAGCAACATTTGCCCCAAGTGAGGATGAGTGAAATGCGATGCCTGGAGCATAGGTTGTGTTGGCGTCTCTGTATGTCTGTCCCCAGGACTATGGGGCCGGCAGGGTGGGGGCTGGGCAGCCGGTGTTTCTGGCAGATGCGCCTCCCCTCAGAGGAGCCTCCCCCCCCCCCCGAGGCCGAGCAGGAACACAGGCAGCGGGGGGATGGGGACGTAGCTCGCGCCTTCTAGAAGGTGGGGACTCCAGTCCTCTCTGGCACCTGGGCCCAAGTCGGTCAGCACGGGGGTTGGGTTGAGGGGAGCACACGACCGGGCAGTTGGAACGGGGCACCTGAACCGCCCGTGGGCGCCCTGCATTCAGGGCCCCAGGGCGCTGGAGGCAGAGCCTGAGTCACAGGGCCAGGGCAGACGGTCGGAGGAAAGGACAGGAGCAGGGAGGGAGGCGGGCAGGCACAGGGAGCCGCGTCAGCCGGCCAGGTCCCCATGGGCCTGAAGCCCGCTCCCTGCTCTGCACCGCGTTGGTGGGTTGGCGCACATCAGGGCTCAATGCGCGCAGCGTGAAGTCGGCTGTCCCCAGCCCCAGAAGCGGACGGTGCGGCTGGAGGAGCCCCATTGCCCTCCAGCTCCCCCTCCTCCCCTGTCCCGCTTCCTGGAGGTTACTGTCTGTCTCTGGGAATCTGTCTGTGCTGAACGCCTCACGGTACGTGTGCTCTCGAGCTGGCTCCGTTCACTGGACACGCTAGCACGTGTCAGCACCTCGTGCCTTCTCACGGCTGGAGAACCCTCCGCCGTGTGCACACCCGCGTTTCGGCTCTCCCCGTCTGTCGATGGACACGCGGCTTGTTCTGTGGGGAGAGCTGCCTGAACGCGGCGCACAGGTGTTTTCCAGCAGCACCGAGCTGACGCCACGCCCTAGCGCGCAGGGGGAGCCCAGGACGCTGCAGGGGGAGCCCAGGACACTGCAGGGGGAGCCCAGGACGCTGCAGCTGGGGCCAGGCCTTGAGGTGGGGTGCGGGCCTCTCGTGCTCCCCGGGGCCCTTCATCTCCCTCCGCTCTCTGGGAGGGCTCCCCACTCCAGCTCTAGAGGCCTTCCTCCCAGCCCCCACCCGCTCCCTGTGCTGTCTCCCCACATCTTCCGGTGTCAGGCTCCTGGACCCCATAACCCCAGAAGGGAAAGGGCGACCCCACCCAGGAGCCCAGGCTCCAGGGCCCTCTGACCCCACGCATGTGCTCTGACAAGCCAGCTATGTTGCTGAGGGCACTGGCAGGAGATGCTAAGAAGTGCTTTTAAAGCCTGCTGAGCAACATTCGCTCAGTGTCTGGAGCACTGCTCCCCCTCTTAGCCCTGACTCCTCCCCCTCCGGCCCAGGACCCGACTCCGGGCGCTTCTCCTCCAGAAAGCTCTCTCTGACCCCCTCCCCGGTACAGGTCCAGCTCTCTCCCTCTGTGCCCAGCTTCTAGGGCACTGTGTAGATACCTCTGCCTTTGTTATCAGATGGGACTCTCCTGTCTTCCTCCTCACGGGACCATGACCACTCATGTCAAAATGCTCCTCATCCTGAGCTTAGGACCAGAGGGGGCCTGAAGGCCTTTGCTGTCCTGCACATAGAGGTCCCCAGACTCCCACGAGCATGAGGCAGAGAGCAGCGGCAAGAATCCTGGGCACTGGGAAGCGCCCAGATGGGGTGAGATGAAGCGGGTGGACCTCGTGCCACAGAGCAGGTGGGGGGCAGGGCTAATCAGAGATGCCTCCTCCTGAAGCAAGGTGGCGCAGAACAGTGGCATCTGCCCCATGGCTGCAGTGACCCCAGTGCCCTTGCTGCCACAGGCACACACATGCGGTGGGCACATTTCTCCATCGAGTGTCCTTCCCCACGCCTCCCACAGCACCTGGGCAGGGGAGGGGGCCGCTAGCCAGCGTGCAGGAGCGGCAGGGGAGGCAGGCAGGCAGAATGCTGGCCCGTCGGTCCGGTGGGCAGGCGGCAGGGGCAGGGACCAGAGAAGCTGCTAAGTGCTGAGGGCCAGGCTCCGTGCAAGGGGATCCTTGTAAGCACCACACGGAAAGAGCCCCACGTGCATGTCCCTGCCGCTCTGCACCCCCCGCACGATCTCAGATGGGTGCAGGGAGGGAGATAGGAAGGGAGTTGTGTGTTTTTGCTCCTTCCACCGTAACGGGGGTTACAGCCTTCCAGAGACCAGTCGAGGACACGGAGGACAGAGGCAGAGCAGCCTGGTGGACACCAGGAGAGGGTGTGCTGTGCCCCCCGGGGAGAAAGGGCGAGACCTGCCTGCCCATGTCGGATGCAGATGGGCACTGACCAGGACTCTGGGCCGAGCTGCAGGACTCAGGGAGGGGCAGGGCCACGGCCCCGGCTGACGAAATCAGGGAGTCTTTGGTGTTTGGTGGAGAAGACAGGGAAGCAGGCTTCTCAGTGTGCGTGTTAGCTGCTCTGGAGTCGAAGGAGAGGCCACCGTTTGTAGGCGGCTCTGCCAGGTACTGGCTGTGTGACCATGGGCAAGTCACTTGACCACTCTGGGCCCCAGCCTTGAGGCATCATGGTGTAGAGGGGAGCACTGTGAGCTAGGACTAAGGACACTTGGGTCCTCATGCTGACTCTGCCCTGAACTCGACCGTCCTGCCCGCAGGATGAATGTGCAGAATATGACCACACAGGGCGGGTCAGTATTTGTGAATGAATGATTGAGACCCTGGGTGAGTTACTTGACTCGCTTGGCCTCATCTGCAAAGCAAGGTCTGTAGAGCAGGAGGTCTCTGGGTCTAGCCCAAACATACGGTATTTAAGTCTGTTTCACCTCATGGAGACAAGGTAATTTTTAGGAAATTTCTCATTGAGATTGATTTCTGAGCCCAGGCATTGCAAACTGGCACAAATAATACATCAGTATGGACTCCAGTTTGCCGGAGAGAAAATCCCAGCCCAAACAGGCTTAAGCTAAAAGAATCATTTATTAAGTCATGTCACAGAAAAGCTGAAGATCCAGTCAGGGATGGCTGGATCCAGCGCCCTAACAGGCTGGTTTGATGTCCCCTCTTGGTGCCACTCTCCTGTCAGTTTGCTCCTATCTTGGGCAGGCTCCTCGTCACGGTGTCCCTGCAGCGCAAGGTAGCAGGAAGGCAGCTTTCCTTCAGCGACGTCCGCAGAGGAAACCCACTGGCTCTCAAGGGCCGGCCTTTGGTGACACGCCCATCTGCAGACCAGCTGCGGTGGACGGTGGCCTGAGGTCCCCAAAGCCAGGCAATGATGTTGTGTCTACCTGGGCCCCGTGGGCCAGATGGTTGGGAGGATCCCCAGGGGAATGGGTGCTTCCTGCAGCGGTCCACATGCAGTGATGGCAGAGTCTGCAATGGCCAGAGCTGCTCCAGAGAGAGGTGCAGAGACCGGGTGTGGGCTGCCGTGGCACGGCTGTCATCCAGCCCCATCTCTGTGTTCTCGGGGTTCCAGCTGCTACAGGGCTCTAAGGAGCCCATATCCCGGCCTTCAAGATACATGCTACTCAAGGATGGGTCCCCACTTTCCAGCCAAGGCTGCCCTCCTGCCCTGGGACAAGGGCCGGGCACATGGGCCCCTGCCTGTGTTTTCAGGGCTCCTAGGCCGCTCTCCCCTGGAACAGATGCCCGCTGTGTCATCTAGCATCCCTGCTCTTGCCGGCCCGCCCCCACCCATCCCAGGAAGCCCAGCAGGCTTCCTGCAGCCCAGCTTCAGGGCCAGCGCCTCGGGGGAGAGCAGTCTCGTCCCTTTCTCCATGCAGAGCTGGGGTTGCCTCCTCTGTTCCGGAACATGTTGCACACACAGCTTTCTGCACTCACCATCTGTGGTCTGTCTGTGCTCTGTGCTCCACGGAGCCGAGAGCCCCTCCGAGTCCCCCCACCGTCCTCCGGACTCCGTGGATTGCCTGGAACGGTGTGGGGAAGCGGGGGGAGGGCAAGAGCAGATCAGACAGGAAGGAGGGAAGCCAGCAGCCCTGCTCAGAAGCGTGGACGCCAGAGGTAGATGACAGGCAGCACCCCAGAGGGTGGGGACCCCCGGGCCCAGGGACACATGGGAAGTGCCCAGGGGGAGGCTTCAGCCCCGGCTCCCATTTGCCCCATCAGCCCTGCCCATTCAAGAAGAACAGGCATCTGGGGACCCCAGAAGCTCAGAAACCGTGAGGGCTTCTGACAAAACACAGCACAGCAGACCTGTTGGGCCCCAAACCAAGCCCAAGGCGTTCTGTCC